GCAGGGGCCGTATCATGCACATACATTATCAACATACGATATCAGTGTGCATTCTGATCGCAGAATCACCGCCTGTCATTTTCATAACTCAGAAATCTTAGTTTTCTTCGATGGATTCAATATTCCTGACTTTATTGTAATGGTGTCCATTGTCTGGATCCTAATTCTGCCTTCTAACTGAAGTCTTCCGATTATGTTGCCGTTGCTGAGAGCAGGTGTAACTCGTCATGATATTGTTACTACTTACTATTATTAATATTACAAAACATTTGGCTGATTGTCGTAATCGTCAAAGGATTTAAGTCGCATATGTGGTGTAAACCCTTCAAAGATTATGAACGATCAAGAATCTCACTAGCATCTTTAAGAAATACTACAGGTGTTTTTGTTTTATGCTGCATTATTATCATCAGCCTTTGCCGATCCATCGTTTTGCGAATTCTCTCCAACACTGCCATAAATCACCGTTTTATGTGAATTTTGTCCATTCTTATCCAGTACATTTTTTTCACTCATCCCGGGATCGAACTGGAAGTTGTCATACGGGCCGTGTTCTCTCTTGGAACCCAATCTGTTGTCTATCTGGTCCAGCGATGGTCCGTTTTTCTTACAACGCGTCCTGCCCATTCAGCTTTTTCATTCCTGCAGTGAGATCGCAAACGTCTGTATGTGCTTTTATCCATTCATAAGTCTTCATATTTTTTGTTATTCCCAACGTACACCTTTCAAACTTCGACGGTCCATATTTCATACTCATAGATTAGCACAGAGAGAATGCAACTGATCGAATCGATTGTTGCATGATGCTTGTCTTGATCTTGTAACTTTTTGTTTTTTAATCCTCTTTTGTGCGTCCGCCTTCACTAAACGTGGTAAGTGACATGCTTTTGCAGACAGAACCAAGGAAGGTATTTCTCAAAACGATCAAGATGGATTGAAAGAAGACACGTCAGGCCATGAGCTCGACGTCACGGATTCTGACGAACTGAATCGTATCAAAATGCAGTAAGTGATTAACTCAGATGATTAGATGTTATTCCATTTTCGATTCTATTATAATCAGGGGGCGCATCTGATGATGATCATGAATCGTTTCTGCATCCGATTAGCTTAAGGCGTTTGTCCCTGTCATTGCAGTGATCCCTGCCCATATAACAACATTTCTCTAATACGAGGGTAGAGATTAAGCTCTGTCCGCAAAAAGCAACGGTGCGACGATGATGGTTCAT